TGGAAGGGGAAGGGGGATCAGTGGGATTGCATCAATCATCGAGGCATTACACTACTAAGTATACCAGGCAAGGTACTCGCACACATCCTACTGAGACATATCAGAGACCACCTGGATTCTGGATTCACTACTGGTAAGTCCACAATAGACCGTATCCTGGCGCTTCAAGTCAATATAGAGCACCGTTATGAGTTCGGACGTGGGTTGCTCACAGCTTACATCGACCTCCAGGTGTTTGATACAGTACATTGCGGATCACTCTGAAAGATCCTGAGACTAAGAGGAATTCCAACATGGATTATTAGGAAATATGTATACAGGCACTGAAAGTGCTGTAAAGTGTGGTGGGAGCCTGTCGAGCTTCTTGTTAGTTCAGGTGTGAGGCAAAGCTGTGTTCTTGCACCAACACCTTTCAACACTTGCATGGACTGGATACTGCACGAGTGAACTCCCTTAATCACAGGCAATCAAGTCAGAGTCCGTAGCAAGTTTGTAAGATGTTTAGTCCTTGAAATCTCTCTATTTATAATTTGTTACCACTAATCCCATGACCACTAGGAGGGCCAAGGCGGGCAATGTGGTAAGCCATCTTATTACTTATTGAGATTTGCAAAGCTCTAGCTTCGCTCGGGCCTTCCATATATATATGGCCCGGCCTGTGTCAGCTATTTAAAGCTGTCTTATTTTAGTCTCAGACACTCGATGGTTACCGAGGTGCCGCGATTGCCATCAGGTGCCATGATGTAAGCATGCGGCATAATCTCTTTACCAACATGGCGGCTGCTGTGGGGGCCATGTCTCAGAAATTGTGTGTGCTCACAACTCCAAATGTAATGTAATGTAACAGGGTGGCGATCCATTCGTCACAATGCATGCAACACCTGTCTGCATAGCCAGTTGTTTTTATTAGCTGCAATGCGCATTTTTAACCTAGTCTGATTCTAAGCAGAATGACTTCTGTACCTCTAATGATTGTTTCAGAGAGTAATGCTAAGTCTGATATGCGAAGCTGAGCCTCGCCCAGGCTATGAGGGGTGCCCGACCTGTGTCGACTAATGCCGACTCCCTAATGTGTGTCAGCTGGTGCTGACTCGGCTTAGTCCTTACCTGCCGTGGTGCCCAGCCACAGCAGTAACCTCCAGGCGACTATTGCAACTTCTCGCGCCTGAGCGGGGTGTGAACCGCCGACCCCTCAGATGAAAAGCCGATACGTTACCATTGTACTAGCCTGGAGGCTTTTCAGAGAGTACCAGTGTCTTATAACCTCTGGCATCTGAGGGGGAGGATCTTGTTTCCTCTCTGTGGAGCTGCAGGAGGAAGGCAAGAGCAAGTTTTTTTGGCTTGGAATAGGGGGCATACTCCTGCCAATGTCAGCTAGTCTTTCAACAAGCTTATTCCCTCTGATGCTTCTGTGGCTTGGGACCCAGTTTATGATTATTCTTCTACCCTGAGCAGGGATCCTCTGCACTATGATATGCACAATGGTCAAAAGGTAGATGTTGTTTTCGGGATGCATGGGCTAGGGCTCACATGATTGCAACTGCTTCTGCCTGTACGAGGAGGCATTGTCTATTACCCTCATGGATTTTGTGCAAAACCGGCGCCTGTGGTGTGGCGTAAGGGATCGACTGATCCGTCCGTGCAGTAGGTTCTACTACCAAGAGGAGTGATAGCTGCAATGACCCTCTCGGCTTCTGCCTTTGGTGTGGCGCAAGGGATCGACTGATCCGTCCATGCAGTTGGTTCTACTACCTAGAGGAGCGATAGCTGCAATGACCCTCTCGGCTTCTGCCTATGGTGTGGCGTAAGGGATCGACTGATCCGTCCGTGCAGTAGGTTCTACTACCTATAGGAGTGATATCTGCAATGACCCTCTCGGCTTCTGCCTATAAACTAGACATGGGTTTTCAATTCTTTCTCTTGGACATGCTCATAAGAGAGAACTCAATCAAGGTTTGTGCTCATGACGGGATTTCAATAACTCCTTGCCAAGTTGCTCTTTGAGCTGATAGCATATCAACACCCTGGATGTGTGTGATCTTACCACTATGAGTATTTTTTGTCTCATGATTGTGTTCCTGGGTCCTGGGTGCCTGGATGAGCTGTAATGCCATTAGATCAATTTGGAGTCCAGGCGGAGAGGGTTTGCCTCCACGAGGAGGTTGAGGCCTCAGCTTCATTTTGAACTGTCTCCCGTTTTTCTCTTAATCTTGGCTTTGTGGCAATCAGGGACACAGAAGCATATTCCACAATGGGATGGACAGTATGTATATAGAAGGATCTTACTATGTTTCTATGGAGGTGATTGCAAGATCGTCTGCATAGGAGATGATCTTGTACCCCACTGGGAGATGTATGTTAAGGATACAGGATATTAGGGTGTTGAATAGGGCTGGACAAAGGACCCCACCCTATGGCGTTCTATTTTCTACTGGCGTGTCCTGTGATAGATGACCTTGAAATCTGGCTGTTCTGTTCCTGAAATAGTCACCTATTCAAGCCGAGAGCTTTCCTCTGATTCCCTTCTGTATCAAGGTTTCCTGAATAGCAAGAGGACTTTCTAATTCAAAAGCAAGGTCTAGGAATACTACAGATGTACGTATGTGTATTTGCATATATATATATATATATATATGTGTGTGTGTGTGTGTGTGTGTGTGTGTGTGTGTGTGTGTGTGTGTGTGTGTGTGTGTGTGTGTGTGTGTGTATGTATGTGTATATATATATATATATATATATATATATATATATATATATATATGTATGTACGTATGAATATATATATAAATATATAAATATATATATATATATATATATATATATATATATATATATATATTTATATATTTATATATATATTCATACGTACATACATATATATATATATATATATATATATATATATATATATATATATATATATATATATTTATATATATATATATATATATATATATATATATATATATATTTATATATACATAGATACATAGATACATATATATATATATGTATATATATATATATATATATATATATATATATATATATATATATATTTATATATTTAAATATTTATGCATATACATATATATATATATATATATATATATATATATATATATATATATATATATATATATATATATATATATATATATATATGTATATGTATATGTATATATATATATACATATATGTATATATATATATATATATATATATATATATATATATATATATATATATATATATATATATGTATATGTATATATATATATATATATACATATATGTATATATATATATATATATATATATATATATATATATATATATATATATATATTAGGGTGCATCAGTTGCCCCGGTATCAGAACTTTACAACGGCCCTATAATTTTTGTGTTCCATTGACTGAGAAAAAAATCTAGAAAAAAAATTATGAAATTCCGAGTTGATCTACCGGGTCCACATCGATGTCGAAGTTTGGCCCATACCCCAATGTATAAGACAGTATAGGCAGGTTCGGTAGACCACATTTTTGCTTTTATGTTTTTTTCAGAATTCAGAGTGCAGTGCAGTTATTAAGAGAAGAAATGTCAGAACATAGCTGTAAGAAGGCTCGCATGGAGCAGCCAAAACCAGAAACCCGCCAAGACTGTTTGATATTTGGGTTAGGAGCAAAAATTACCGCCGACGATGCTGAAATAACTGGCATACGACTACCAACAAATGAACAAGTGCTTCGATGTTTTAGATTTCACCAAATGGAGGGACTCTCATCAAACTGCTCCAAAAGAGACATTGCAAAAATCGTTCTAGAAAAACTAGTTCCTTTCTACATGAAAGCAAACATACCCATGATAACGACCAAAAAAGCAAGTGAGAAAATAATCCAGTTAGCTGACCGAAACGCGAAACTGCGTGAAATTCCTATGGACAGGCGTTCATCACAGGCAGTTGAAACTAAATTACGTGACGCTGAAGTTGAGTTGAAGAAAACGTTCCCCCTATGGTCGCGAGACGCACAAAATACTATTAAAAATCCGGAAGACCTTGCCTTCTTGATTTCCATGCAAACAGACAGAAAAGCTTCTTTTGGTTCTCGTGATAAGGTTTTGGCCGATCAGATTGCTCGGAGAGAAGCACGAAAACAGAAGGAATCAGACAGAAAGCAAAAAGCCTCAGAAAAACTGCGATCCACGTACTCGCGGGTAGAGCTTGCCAACAGCAGCGAAGATACCGAAGAAGAGGACAACCCAAATACTGCAGGAGCTCGCTCAGATCGAAGTCATCGTCGGACTAAGCGCTCGGGTACGGCAACCTTCATACCTCACGATATTCTTCGCTCACCCCGTTTAGTTTCTCTCGCTACTCGCATCAAAATGACACCAGCTCAACAGGCAGCTTACACGAAAGCGTTGATTGAGGAAGGGGGAGGAGATTCTTCCCAAGTTGTTACCTCATACAGCAGTGCTGACAGAGCTCGGCGTTCAGTTGTCCGGGGCATTGCAACATCGACCAAAGGCATGTGGGTCCCGCCTATACGAGCGTCCATCCACTGGGACTCTAAACTCATGAGTTCCCTGGAAAATCAGAACGTGCTGGAAGAGCGACTCTCCATATCTGTGGGTGATTCCTCTGAGATAAAACTCCTGGGTACCCCAGCCTATCCTCCAGGTAATTTTTTTATTTATTAATTTTAATTAAAAAAAAAGGCTAAAGGTCCATACATAAAATATTGTTAGAGAATACATATTAGATAAGTTAAAAAGGAAAATTTAAAATAGCACCAGATAATCAGATATCACATGTAAACCAATGCGGAAAATGGTAATCTCAACCTATAAGGCGGAGAACAAATGTTTCAATTGCATGCTTGTTAAGATAAAATACTAAGTGTTAAAACTTTGTAAGAACACATTACTAGAATTTGATATCCGGTAATCCAAAAAATGTCTGTAGATTTTTTCCAGAGACATACCCGAACCTCTACAGA